TGCTGCTAATTATTGATTTCTTTTATAGTTTAAGATTCATTAATACTTATATTAGTCGTAGTGCATGATATTTTTTAACGATTTCTTAGTTGATTGTAAGAAAAGAGCTGGCGATTCTTTTAAATTTGATGTCTTATTGTTTTTTCATTCATTCTTCTTTTTTACGTGTAAAAAATCAGCATAATTAGGTTATTTGACAGCACAAATATCCATGCTAAAATTACATCTTGAATGCCATAATTTTTAAGAATTGATTGTTTAATATTTTTCTGTGAGTCATCAGAGCGGAGAACCCGATGATCAAGATTTCTCTATTTAAGTTGTACCCATAATAGATAATTAATATATCATTTGTGTATAAATGAGATATATAGGAGATTGGCAGGTATCTTACAGAAGGTCTCACAAAAAAAATAAAAGAAATACGTAAAAACGATGAGACATGTTTCGTTTTGTTATATTGCATCTTATTCCAAAGCGATGAAGACGAAATTCGGTAGTTTTAAAAGACAAATAAACTAATCTTTTTGAACTCAAAAGTAAATTATTGTAAAGGGACAACAGAGGACAATGTGAATGTCTTTGCTTTATATCAAATAGAAAAATTGTTTTTAAGTATACACATTATCTTAACAATTTAAAGTAGAAAGAATGCTCATTAACACAGACCCAATTGCAATTATACGATTCAAAAAATGCAAAACTTTCTTGAAAATCAAGAGTTTTTCAATCAAGAATGCAAAGGAATGGATCAACAGAAAAGAGTCATTGCATGTAATGCAGCCATAGGAAACCTCTTCAATTACCTATGTGACTTTGGCGACATCTATATAATTTTTAATCATTACACCCAAAATCCTTTGGTACTTTCGCTAATTAGTAGTTTTGAAGTTAGAATAAATTGAAATCTCCTTTCCTGGTTGGGGTGTATTTCCTAAGTGTAGCTCAGAAACAAATGATTAACGCTAAGCCAATCCATTACACCAGACCACAGATCATTTGTTTTCTGTGAAACATAACAAACAAAATAGAAGAATGACAAAGGGACGTATATTTATGACTGTATTTGAACAAGATATAATTCAGAACAAAGGTCGGTGACACCTAGAGTTGAGTTCTATCAACTATAATGTCATTTGATAATGATTGGTTGTGCTTTTGCCCAACTCATCGTAACCCATGATTCATCTATTCAAAGCTCTTTTTTTCTCAACGATCATCCATCATTGTCTCTTCTATGAAAAATGGATAAACAAAATGAAGACAAAGATGCGAAAATTGAATCTTTAACATCGATATCATCAAACGATTTGTTGACTACAATTTATGACATAAATCGAGCTATTTTTCGTCATTTACCTATTCGTTCAGTGGATTCAAGTTCGTTGGTTTGTCAATCATGGGCTCACATAGCTCGTTTAACTAAAGCACATCGTCATACAATTCATACATTAACTTATCCATCAAATCTATCATCTTCAAGAACGACATGTTCTTATTATGTGTCTGATTTTAATACAGTTATTTCGTCATATATAAACGATAATCTTTGGTCATTACCATCGTTGGCTCTAGTTGTTGTTACGAATGTATTAGATAGAAAAGCTTTTATTGCACCATCGAACTCACCACCACCAACAAAAACGTCAAGACGATCTCGATCTCAAACTACAGCTACCCAAACAGAACTTCTTAATATACCACAAGCATTAATTCGTCATTTCAATAAATCATGTAAAATTTTACAAGTAGCATCCAATGGCATCGTTGTATCAAATGATGAAAATCAATCCTATGAAATTGAATCCGGTAAAAAAAAAAAGTATTTATAAAGTGGAAGTAAAAAGTTTAAAAACGAATTATTTTTTGGAAACTTTTTTCCTCAACAATAACAACTAGGTTATCATTCGCTGAAGGTAGGTTGAGAAGGACTCATAACATCAAAATATCTTTTCTATCGGATAACTTTGTTTGCAAAAAGGTTTTTTGAAAGAATTCAGAAAAATTGGTTTTGAGAATCTTGATTTTTGTGAGACCTTTGATTCACGTCTGTTAATAAGAATTTAACAAGTACTTCTCTTGATAGAATATTTTTTTTCAGTTGAATCAAATATCGATCGATTTTGTATTTCTTATTACTTTTTTTTTATTTTTAGACAGTGCTATGGGTATTTTACTTTTTCCAAAATTACCATCGAATGTTCTTGGAATATATCCATTTGAAATTTCATACAATACTAAAATATCTGCTGATATGTCTCGTTCAGATATGCATCATTTATTTGGTTGTGTACCTGATGATATACCTATTCGATGTATTATATTTTTCTTTACTCAACGTCAATCACATAGTGTTGATTGTATTAAAAAATTGCTTGAATATTATCCATCAAATGTAGCTATTATTGGCGGTTTTGTTAATAAAATTCGTTATAATGATCGACAAAGTCAATTTAAACCATCACTATATAACACAAGTGGAATTGTTCTAACCGGTGATCCAAACCATTTAAATATTAAACAAATTTTATTAGAAAGCCATATTGATACACGTGAAAGTGTAAAAGATAAATTAAAACAATTAAAATCTATTGAAAGTAATCGATGTCTATCATTTGCTATACAAGTTAGTTGTGTTGCTCGTGGTTCAGATTTTTATAATGGAGAAAAAAATGTTGAATGTACAGAATTCAGAAATTTGTTTCCTAAAACACCATTGATTGGAATTTTTGGAAATGGAGAACTGGGTTATGATTATTTACTAAATGATAATCAAATATCGACACAAGAACAAATAAACACAAAAAAAGACATTAATGATGTATTTCATGCTTATTCAACTGTATTTTCACTTATTACATTACGCATGTAAAACATTATATTTTATGGAATAAAAAATGCGTTACTTTCTACTTTGTACAATAGTGATAAATATAAATAACCTTGCTTTGTCTTTAATCTCGCATGAGAATGAAATGATCGGTGATTATTCTTTGTAGAATAATGAAATATCAAAAGCAAGAACTTTTTCAATCTTATGTAATGCTTGTTCGACCTACTCTGAAATATTTCTGAAGTTATTTCAAACTACAATAAACCCTACAAGATAGCTGAGAATATTACAGTATCTACCTTGTTGTTTTTTCATCTCTTTGCTGACATATCATCTTATTCTGATAGTGAATATTGCATGGTCGCATTTTTCGTCAGAAGTTCTTTTCGTTATATCGTCGTCGTGTTTTGCTTGATGCATCGTTTGCAATATGAAGTAGTAGTTGTTTTTCTATTCGATCTTGTACAATATATTATTAAGATGGACGTAAGCATTTGACATAAGTCTTTCTCATTTCTATTTCGTAATGATTAATCCATCAAACGTCATAATGATTTTTTGATGAATATGCTTTGCACCTAGTGATTTCTGATGTCTCGATGAGCTTCAATGACAGTACTCCTATCATAAAGCGTGAATGCGAAAGAACCGAGCTCATATGTACTGTGCTCAAGTCGATTATTAATAGTTATTTTCATACAGTCTAGATTGAAACTATTTTCAATCATGAGACAAGTGAGAATGAATTAATCAATGAGATAGATGACGAAAATGATGAAGCTAAACAACTATTCGATTTCGGCAGTCTAAGTGAGACAGAAGATGCAGAGAATGCATGGCGACAGAAATTTTCACTCAAATTCACGAACAGGATTATCAGCTTCTACGACGAGGACAATGTAGTAATTGGTCAAGAACAATAGTAGTACTAGACAATGACGCATCATTTTTCATAAACTTCATGTCAAAGTCACACTGCTCCATTTTTGCTATTACTTTAAAAAATACAGATCAACAAAGAGAAGATTGACTGTTGAATATATTCAAAAGAGATGAAAAGATATCCTTTGTTAGTTAATGATATTGATCGTTGTTAGCAAGAGTTGAAGAAATGTATGAAAGAATCTTTATACAATAAGGTGACTTCATATTCTCAAACATAAGCAAGATATTATCAGACGTAAAATTTTGTCAATAAGGAAATTCCTAATCAATTCTCGAAACGATTTCGAGAATAGATTTGTTTTTGACGATTAGATAAAAATGAAATTTTTAGATTTTACTTACGACTTCATTTTTTTTCAAAGGTATTTTGAGACAAAACTTGCTAAAAATAATTGTTCATCACAGATTATGATGAAGAGCAAGAGCGAGAATCAAGAAACGACCAGAATTTCATTCGCTTACTTTGTAACCGATATTCGTAAGACTTTGCCGATCTATGAAGTGAGAGCAATCATGGATGCTGACCAGAGTAGAGTTACATTCGAGCTGCATTCTAAGCGTACATTGAACTACTACGGCGAATAAATTAACTATTGCTAATGTTTCTCTATAAACATTAACGCATATACGGCTGCACGATGTAATCTATTATCATGCTGTATGTAAGTGTTCTTCCACCATTATATTACTGTCTGAAATACTGCAAACCACAGACAAAGGATAACATTCAAAAGCATCATTTCATATTTTCGAAAATGATGATTACCTGTTGCAGGTTTGAAGAGTTTCAACATTCTGAGTCACCTATTACCATGACTTTAGTCTTCTTCCGTCATTGAGATAACGCAATAAACTCCTAACTTAGATTCTTGAGATGAGTAGATGAATAGAAACAACCTACAAGGTCACATATCAGAAAACACAAAGTTTCAAATACCGCAATGAACTTGATATCAATATCAATGAGTGTAAAGCTATCATCTACCTCAAGTTTTTCAATCATAATCAGCTCTCTTGCAAAGTTTTTCCTCGAAGAATTCGATACATTCGATAGCCTAGACATAGTCTAAGACTCAGGTCTATCAACACCCGTCCTTTATTATCTCAATAAGGTCGAGTTTTCAGTATACGTGCACATGCGGGTATGTCTTGAAATAAAAACAAAAAGAACCTATTCTTTTCTAATCATTACATTTATTTCTTTGAACAAAATAAACATCAATTACACTTTCTTTTTCGCACGTTGGAGATTATCTCCATATAATTGAACATATGGATGATTTGATGGTAGTGAGATTTCCGCTATTTTAAAAGCTCGTTCAAAAAATGAAAGCGCCTTCGAATAGTCACCTATGTTGAAATACGTCAAACCAATGACGTTGTAATAAGGACTTAATTCAGGATGGTCTGAAGGAAGAGCTTTTTCACGAATATTCAGTGCTTTCTGATGAGATGACAATGCATTTAAATAATCATCGACGTTGGAATATGCCACTCCAATGTTGTCATAAGAAGTAGCCAAATCAGGATGATTTGAAGGCAGAGCTTTTTGACGAATTTCGAGTGCTTTTTGAAAAGATGTAAGTGCCTTTAAACAGTGACCCATGTGGTGATACTCCAAACCAATGTTATTGTAAGAGGTAGCCAAATGAGGATGATTGGAAGGAAGAGTTTTTTGGCAGATTTCTATCGCTTTTTGGTAATATGAAAGTACCTTCGAATAGTCACTCATACTGTAATAGACCAGACCGATATTGTTGTATAAATTAGCTAAATGAGGATGATTGGAAGGAAGACGTTTTGGCAGATTTCTAGTGCTTTTTGATAATAGGAAAGTGCCTTTGAATAGTCTCTCGTGTTGTAATAAGCCATTCCGATGTTGTTGTAAGAAGTAAAAAAATTAGGATGGTTTTGAGGAAGAATATTTTTGCATATTTCAAGGTTCTTTTCATAATATGAAAGTGCGTTCGAATAGTCACCTGTGTTGCTATAAGCCTATCCAATGTTATTGTAAGAAGCAGCCAAATCACGATGAATTGAAGAAAGAGTTTTTTGGCAAATATTGAGTGCTTTTTGATGAGGAGAGAGTGCATTTGAATGGGCATTGATGTTGGAATACACCGAACCAATGTTATTGTCAGACACAGTCCAATAGATATTCGTTGATGATAGAATTTTCTGTAGTATATTATGTGCTTGTCGATAATAGGCAACGGCGTCTTTATATTCACCTTGAGCACTCTTGACCACACCAAGTTCATTATAAATAGTAGCTTTTTCTCAATCACTCGAAGCTTGACGAAGCAAGGTATCATATATGTCTTTGGCTTTGTCAAGTTGCCCAAGTTGAATCAGCAACTTACCCAAACGATTCCATCCGTCAATATATGAATAGATCTCTTGGCGCATTCCTTCAGTAAGTGCAAGCAATTCAGGATCATTGTCACTGGTCAATGTTAAATCGACTTGCCAAAGACGATTATTTCCATCGATTTCTTTTATTGAGCCAATACGGAAAATAGAATTCACGGAAAAGAGAATTTCTTTTTCTCCTTCGAAATAACTGACATCATGAATTTGTGCGAAAACAGTAGTTGATGTTGATGGATTGCTAGTTGTTTCAAATAAAACACCTATAAGATGAGGATCACTGTGATTACTCTCAGCAAAGGCAAGAGATACTTCTCGATCAAGACTTGTCGACAAAAAGTTATTAAATGATAAAAGTCCACCTGTTGTTTTGACCAATTCATTAAAGTCCATCTTTGACAGTCCTTGACCATGATACACAGTAAATGAATTTGACAACAAAGGTTCAGAGAACTGTTGAGCATGAAGTTCAGCAATGTGATTGTGAAGATCTTGAATGAAAAACCCTATGCTGACAATGAGATCGACCTCCATCATGCGTAATGATCGAGTCAGCATTGAATAAAGAAAACAGTTGGATGTGTACCACCATATCGGGGCATGGTTTCAGTATTCTCGTTCGAGTTTGTCGACGGTTTTCAGTTTGTCAGTATCATTTTCGAACAGTTGACGACAATATAAAATAAATTCATTGAGATGTTTTTGTTGAAAGTCAATGGTTAATAAGATTTCTTTTAATATCTGTGTGTACATGAATGATTGATCTAATTCATTTAGATTTCGTTTGCAATTTTCACTATCGATAGGAACAAAACTAATAGTGAGCAAATTTTGATCACATCTATATGCAGCTTGTCGAAGTGTTTTACAAATTGACAAAATATCTGTAAATACACCATTGATTTTCGACCATTGATTGGTCCAACTTTCATATTGGACATAGTCCTCACTCCAAATATAGATAGTACTGATTTGTGGAATGTCATGGACGATTGAAATAATTGTTTGCTCGAAGGAACCAGAAAAGATCATAAATATTTTCTCCTCTTGAATATTGGTTATGAAATCGATGCATTCATTGACATCAGTAAAGGGATATATGTTGTTAACCATTTGTTTTAATCTGTTAATGGCATTGATATAATCATCATTATTTATGTCATCAATATTGGCATCAAGCCACACCAGTAGAAAGTTCTGAAACATATGAGGATAAGGAAGAGGTGTGGTCTTGTTCTGGTATACTCAGACAACGTGGTATTAGTGGCAGTAGCAGCAGTTTTCGTTGTTGTTATCGAATTTTCCCTTCTCTCTGTGGTGTGCATGATGCTTAACAATGAAAAAATCTAAAACAAAATGAACTGAACTAATGTCGTTTTCAAAAAGCAATGGGTGTGGCAATTTTTTGAATAATTTTAGAATGGAAAGAGTCAGTGAGCTACGGTTTTCACCGTTCGAAAGAGATGAAACCAGTGCGTCGTTTTGTCCAATATCGTATAAGATGAAATCGTTTTAAAATCAATTATTTCTCCAAAACATTTCAAAAACTGCATGAAAACTGTCTGTCATTGCGATGAATTTTGGTTTTGATATGTGATTTAGATAGAGGGACTTCAGACCTATAGTTTAAGATATAAGGTGAATGATTATATTCACATATTCTAATGTTAAGTAAATAAAATTCTCTATTTACTCGCTCGAAAAATATGAATTTCTCCTAATTTTTAAGCAAATTTTATCACTTTTTGTTAAAATTTCATCTCAGCGGTAGATAATTTTTCTGCATTTTTTCGATATCTTATAAAAATGGTTGATTTTAAAATGATTCCATCTTATACACTATTGGAGAAGAAGACGTTGTGATGTCTCTTCTTTCAAATGGTGAAAACCGCCGGTTCCTATCTCTTTCCATTCTAGAGTTCTTCAAAAAACAACCACACCCATTGCTTTTTGAAAACGACAATAATATAGTGAATCGGAGTATTTATCATTATGTTTACGTTTGCTCTTGATGGTGTTATCGTTTCGATTCTTTTTTCTTTTTGTTTTACTTAAGTGCTTCACTCCATCTTTTTATCTGTGACTTTCTTTAGTGTCACAACAGTGCACCCAAGTGCAGAAAAGATTTATTGTGACATGATTTCATACACGGCGCCATATTTTACGTTGTTTTTGATGATGTATGAACATTTTTTTCTTCATCTTCTTATGTTGTCGTAACTTTAGAGAAAGTCTTTGGTACTTCCGCATTGGACTCTTCACAGGTCCAATAAAGATCTTGAGAGAATTCACTATTTTTTTTGAGGAAATGACTAAATACTGAGAGAAGCGTCTAGACACGAAATTTCAAGATCTTGACAGGATTTAGAACAGAGTCCTAGAAGGATTCTGAGTAGTCTTCTAGTATTTTTATATTAGGATCCTGGCTGGATTTCAATAATTCCTATTCGAAAAAGAAATTTCTGTTTACAACTTACAGCATTTGAAGAGATTTTCTCAAGGGAACACAAAAGAAATATATATAACGATCAGTTTTCATGCCTTATATAGTTTCATGTGAACACTAATTATCTCAAAAATTTATAAAGTACAATATCATGTGCAACGTTGTTCTTAGTTCACAAAGTTACACTAGGTTTTTTTATTAATATGAATTCTGTTAAAAAACATCTATTCATGATCTTTTTCTACACATAATCAGAACTATCAATAGATTTTACCAAATGGTTGACTTCTTACTAAAAAGGTTATCTAATGAGAAAAAAGAATCTTATAACAATAATGAAATTAATACCGTAATGTAATAATTTTTCAAAATCTCTCTCAAGATAAAAGGACAAATATAACTAGCGTTTCTAGCCTAACCTTTTACCCTCTCGACCAATTAATAGACTCTCGCTTTTAATAGAAAACCCGATTCTTCGGAGACAACTCTTCCTTTAAATATTTTAAACCTTCTTTTCATTGAATTATTGCTTGATAGTATTTATTGGAGAATAAAAGTTATGAAAGAATGACAGAGGCAGTAATAGCTTATCTATGCATAACAGGAACATATTCTCTTCGAACGAAGAAAAAAAAAGCTATTTTCAGCAAGAATGAAAGCGAAAGAAAAAGAATCAGTTACAAATGATACGAAGAAGAAAGAACGATTAATACTAGTAAACCTCCTTTGTATCAGCAGTAATAAACATTTAGAGAATATATAAAATATGCAGTAACAACACCTTGCACTTCTTTGTGGTGCTGATGATTCAAGTGTGAAATTAGTTTGAAGCATTGGTGAATGCGAAAATTAATTGGTACGTTTATCAACAGATTTTTAATTGGAATCCGAAAACAACAATGGTGATGATCAAATTTTCAAATGGTGTGATTCAACTTCATCATTATTCCCTATAAGTTCATCAAATATTGATGGATTAAACGATTTTCGTCAGTTAGTACTGTTCACAACGACAAAAGGCAAATGTTGGTTGTTAGGATAAATCTATGAACTATCAACGATGCTAATGGGCAGCCAAAGAAAAAGTTGATGCTATTCCATTATTTAATAAGATTCGAAGCAAACTTGAAACTGCAAAGAAAGAAGGGTATACAACTGCTCAAGAATGGAATTGAATGAAAAATAAATAAAATTTATCAAAACAGAAAAGGTTTGTTTCTATTTTTTTTTTCGTCCTTTTTGACAACATTCATTCATGATAAACGACGGAGTAAAAACAGCATTCTCTCCTTTTTATACGAAGGATCATATTGAATATCATTCCAGGATATCAAGAGATGCCTATTTTCTTGAATCATAAAGAGGAAAGTTCAATCTTAAACAATTTATATTGAAATAAATTTTTCTTTTCACAATAAGTTCGAATCGTATATCTGAGCTATGAATGATAGAAAGTGAATACATTTGAATTTATGCAAATTGAGAATAAAGCGTATTTTGAATTTTTTATTATTATTTATAAATGTTTGAAAATATTTCTTTTTTCTTTTAGGTGGTAAAAAGTGTTTTTTAAAGTTCATTATGAACTTTTTGCTTGATATGAGCCTCGAAGTACCGGTTCCCAAGATATATCTATAACTGCAGCTGATTTTCCAAGAGAAAAAAATGACTCTTTGACATTTGGTTAGAGAAGCTCGAAGAATTGCTGAAGAATTATATCATTCTCCATCATCATCAAGTTTGTATTAAAAGTTCATGAAATGCAGTGGTTGATCATTACAACAACTGAAGAGACAGTATAAAGTGCCACTTGATCGAATTCATCGTTTAGATACTTCTTTTCTACACGGTCAATCGTCATGCTAGTTTATGGTCATTGAAACATGGTTCTATGGATATATTTTATGGGGAAAATGAAATTTAATTGTAATAGTTCATTATTTTTTTGTACTTAACTGTGTATTTGAAATAAAGTCACAGTGAACTAATAGTAATGTTATAATGATATTACTTATATGAAAAAAACCAGGTTAAAAAAATTTCGGACAGTATTCACAAAAATTCCATAGAATACCTCAAGTTTTGATTAAATTCAACAAAATAATAAGTTAAAATAGATTTTTCAGGCAACAATCCATTAAGAGCGATGCTTCAGCAAATAATCTGTTTTATGGATTAAAAACGTAATCGATATTAATTGATTGCAAGAACAATCCGTTAAAATCCACATCATTTAGAATAATCTTTTAGGTAGCATCGTTTCTTTTGTATCGTCTTTTCCTTGCTATTGTTGTTATGACATGATCATATATTTATGTATTCCATCTATGCCTTCTTTCGTTTTGCTGTCAGGCGTGAATGGATAGATGTTTTTTTTCCAGTATATTTCAGTATATTAAGTTTTGTTCGCTTTCTATATCGATCTTGTATTCTCTCTACTGAGTTCTTGACTCTCTAGTACCTGCTAGGATATTCCTTTCGTTTCTAAACTGCTATATGTATACCCGTGGCTTGTAACAATAAATGAAACTGTACATATGTGATAAAATAAAACTTCTCTTTGACTTGCAACTGGTTAATGGTTGACTATTTTCACGAATCTAAATAATGGATTAATAATCTAAGTGATTATAATTGATTTCAAGAATAATATGTGATCATCTACGTCCTTTAGAGTAACCTGAATAAGCGACTGAGAATCAAATAGGTTTGAGTCGATTTCTGCCCATGAAAAACTTCTGGGAAGAAGATCGCGGTCAACCACGGTAAGTGGAAGCGTGATAGTCAGACTATTTATTCTGTATTTCAAACTGCTTCTTACTGCAGTTTGTAGTGGTTTTAAAATACCGAATATTTGGTCTGATTCTCGTGGGTACATACTAACAGTGAGAATCGAAGGTGATGATTACTGCAGTACAACGCGATTTTTTGAAAAGGGTACCACAAA